TTTTTTTAATAATCCTTTTACATTTTCAGTTTACTTTTGAACTCATTATAATGCAGCAGGCATGTACTTGTATCAGCTACAATTTCCCAGTTTCATTATTTCGTTTTAGTTACGTCATCTTACATCGCAACTTGAGTGCGCTCAAGAAGCAATTAGCGAGTGTCAAGCTAGTATAGTAGAGTTGGAGAAAACTGGTCAATTTGGTGCTTTCGGCTCAGTTTCTGGGCATGTTGGGACTGGATCCTGTCGACCAGCCTTAGGTTCAGGTGTTTCTGGAAGTCTTGCTACCTGCAACATGACAGAGGCTCGCTATTTACTCGATCGGCTTTTCGAGATGGTTGTGGAACGAGACTTAACGGCTAAGCGATGCCAGTCAGCGGTTGCACAGTTACGTGCCGATTTCGCGATAAGTCACTCAGAACGTAACCAGGAACTCGACATGCTCCGCCTTGCCCTTCAACATGCTGGTGTGCCCCTAGATAATCTAGAATCATTACTCTGTGTGGCGGAACCTGCGAGAGAATCAAACAACTCTAGGAGGCATAGACGGATGGCGACATCTGCAATTGGTGAACAACAGGATGCTGATGGCTTTATGGAACATTATGAAACAGCAGATCTTTCTGATCCCTCGAATTCCCAATCTGCCAGCTCAGAATATTCGGATTCTCATTCAGACCCTGAGACGAATATAGATCCATCTAAAATTTGCAGTAACATTACTCCTACTTCTTTGCAAGTAGCACCTGACGAAACAACTTTGGACCTCGAGAACCAGACACTGGTCGAATCAATTCGTGGTAATTATTTTGCCCTCTATACACACACACAAGTCGCTGAATATTAATAATTTGCAAAAGTTTGTCTACTATTGTGAGTGGAGTTTTTATTGTTGGTTGCTTAAGAGGATACGAGTTGATCAAGTCGCGCTGCAATGTCATTGGTTCTTTGGCTCAGTAACATTAAGGGTATGTTGTATGTCCAACTTTTAGGATTTCTGACACCATAAGCAGGCTTTTTGCTATTTGAAATGACTCTACAATACTTAAGCTAGCAGATGATAGGCACAGACGTGAATACTCTTCGCCAATAATATCCTTGATTG